GCTGATGCAGGGGACACGGGTTCGTGCCCCGGTCCGGGAAGATCCCACCTGCCGCGGAGCGGCTGGGCCCGTGAGCCATGGCCGCTAAGCCTGCGTGTCCGGAGCCTGTGCTCCGCAACGGGAGAGGCCACAACAGTGAGAGGCCCGCGTACCACAAAAAAAAAAAAAGTGAAGTTTATGGTATGTGAATATCTCAATAAAAATTAAGAGTAAGTTTTCTCCTACCCTAGACACCCAGTCTCATTCCCCAAAGACAAACACTGCTAACAATTTCTTTATATCCTTTCAGAAATTTTTAAGGCATATAACTAGCATAAAAATATGTGATTATCCCTTTCCTTTTTTCAAACACACGAGGCAACATTTTATGCCCCCTGCCAGCTTTCACCATCACCCCCTAGAGGTCATTCAGGATCAGCACATGTGGGTGTGCTTCATTCCTTTCAAAGACACATTCCGTGGCATGGATGAATCAGTTCATTAGGCACCTGCCCTCTAATGGGGAGCATTTGGCTGGTTTCCAGCCTACAGCTATTTCAAACAATGCTGCAATGAACATCTCTTGTATATGTATGTGTGTATGTACTTATTTTTTATTGGAGTATAGTTGTTTTACAATGTTGTGTTAGTTTCTGAACATCTCTTTTAAACAGATCTTTACATACATGAATGTATCTGTAAGATAAATCTAAGAAGTGAAATTACAAAGTCAAAGAATGTGTGCATTTTTAATTCTGATTTTGTCAAACTATCCTCCAAAAAGGTTGCACAAATTTGCACTTTCCCCAGAGGTAACTGAAATGTCTTATCAGTGTTGTGTACTATGTTTTTGATCCTTGCCAGTGTGATACATGAAAAATAGTACCTTACATTTCTTTAATTTTAAGTGAAAGTGAGCATCTTTGTGTTTGTAAGTATCTTTCTGTGAACTACCTATTTATGTCCTTTGTGTTTTTCTATTGTTAGTCTCTAAAGATACTTTAAAATAGCAAAATAAGCTAATTTCTATTAAAAAAAAAAAGAATACTATGTATTTGGATTAAATAACTTCCAATAAATTTGCCTGTATCCATGTTCTCTTCTACTGAATCTGTAGGTCTCCTAGAGTTTAGTATTCAAATCTTCATTTGGACTAATTCTGGTAATTTATTAATGCCCATATGTACAATTAACAAAGATTAGCTAATTTATTAATTGATTTATGTGTGGAATAATGGGAAAGAGGAAAAATGTGTCAGAAAGGGTAAGACTTAAAACCATATATGGGGAAGTACAGAACAGCTTTGGATGGTCTAACTCGTGCCAGGCAAGAGACAAAAAAGACAAATTTGGCTATTATATTTGCCCCTAACTCTATAGGCTCCACCTGAATATTTTGCTTGACCTTCTCACTATAAAATGTAGTATATATGGGTATGTAAAAATCTGTATATGCTGGTGGGAGCAGTGGAAAAAATCAGCAATAGTTGGTAACAATATTCTGTGTGGTTTTTTGGTATGCTTGTAAGATGTCCCCCAAAGAATTTGTTTTAAGTGCTCTCCACTATAAATGCCTACCAGTGTTTTGATGAGGAAGTCTTATCCTGCTGCTTGTTTGGAGCCTGCTGCAGGGGGCACAAGACTGTCCAGCTGCTGACGATGTCCTGTATTAATCAACCACTCATAAAACTTGTTTTCCACAAGTACCTGGAACTGCTTCCTTTGATCCCTAAAATTGCAAAAAGAATGTAGCAATACTAATTCATATTAATTTTACTCCAAGTGATTATAAAATACTTTAATGGGATAAATGTTAAATTATTTCTAGTTATCCATTTGTTCTCTCCGAATAACTGCTCTGTCCAGTTCTATACACTGAATCACCACCACCACCACCACCAAAAAAAAGATTGGTCAGATACAATTCCCTCTTTGTAAAAACTTATCAGTAATTATATATTTTGTTCTACTGTGGTTATTCACTCAACAGATATTTACTGAGGACCAAGTGATGCTGGGTAGTGTTCTGACTGATGAGGATAAATGTGTAAAGAGAAGAGAAATGGTCTTTGTCCGGGCAGGTTTGCACTGCATGATTCTAGAGGGTGCCATTCACATTGTGACCTATGTAGTCTGTGCTTCTTGTGGACTGAATATTCTAGTAGGGGAGATAGGTAAAAACAAAATAAACATATATATGAACTTAAGTAGTTGTAAGTGCCTTGGAGAAAAATAGAGCAGAGTAGGGAAAACAAGAGTATTTGGAATGCTAATTTAGAAAAAGGATGGACAGAAGCCTAAGATGACACGTAAGCAGAGATCTGAATGAAGTGATGGATTAAGCAAAATAAATATCTGGAGAACATTCCAGGCAGAGGAAACAAAAAGTGCAAAGGCTCTAAAGTGAGAGAATATTTAACATGTTCAGGATAAGCAAGAGAAGAGAAGCTCCTGACAGCCAGGAGCTAGCTTAGCACCATCAGCTAGGCCTAGGTGTAGCTGGGATCTGGCCTGCTGCTCTTCTGTTGAACATAAATAATCCCATAGCACACCAACAGGGGACAAGGCCACTATGGGACAATGCTAGATCAAGGCAAAAAAAAAAAACTCATTCCATAATCATATCTCAGGTCCAGACAAAAAACAAAACTATTTTGTGGTCCAAACCACAAAAATGACCGAGCATCACCCTTTCCTGGCTAATGAGTGACTGCTGTTTCTTTACAATTATAGTTTTAGCCCCTTTATTCCCTCCTCTTTAATATAAAAATTATTACAATACCAAATCATAGAATTACCCTCACTTCCAGATTGCATCCAACCCACAACAAAACCTTGCTTCCTACACCCCTCCCCCAAATCACCTAACAGCCAAAATCCAATTATCAGTTATTTTAAACACGCTTTTATAGAGATGAAACTAGTTCTCTCCCTCCTTGTAATGAGTAATAAAATCCAACTTTATTCTACAGATACGTTCCTGGTGGTGTTTGGCTGGACAGCAATGACTAAGTAACACTATAGTATGGTGGGAGGGAAGTGAATGAGGAAAAGAATGGCAGAAAATGAGGCAGAGAGGGCCTGGTAGGTACTGTGAAGGTTTTATATTTTATTCCAAGTATGATGGGGACCCGTTAGAGGGGACAGAGCAGGGAAATGACATCGTCTTATCACTTTAAAAGGATCGTGTTGGCAGTTTCTTTTCAAATTATTCAATAGTTCTTCTGTCTTCCCATGTTCCCAAAGTTAAATTGCATGCTCTTGCTGGTTTCTAGTGTTATCATGGATCTCATCACTTGAACATGCTATGATTCAGAGTCAATATTTATTAAATGCTTACCACATTCCAGATTCCACACATGTGTATAAGCTTTTCATATGTGTAAGAAAATCTAGCCATCTAAATACTACCAGCATCCAAACAACAGAATTGCTTTAAAAGAACGTTCTTCCAATGATCCATTTTTATATCACATCAGTATAATGATTATATTATATATGACAGTAGTTCACAGAAAACAGTAAAGACACTAAGAACCCAGGTTCTGGAACCAGGCTGACTAGGTGTGAATCCTGGCTCCTGTGTGACTTTGGATAAATTACTTAAATCTCTCGGTTCCTCAGTTTCCTCATCTGTGATAGGGAACTATTAGGAAGAATAAATGAATTAATACATAGAAGGTGCTTGGAACAGTACTTGGCACATAGTAAGTGCTCAATACATATTACCTATTATTATGGTCATCAGCACTATTCTGCTAAATTGAGAATGACTGAGCTGTAGTATTAGTATCCTGGTGGCTCAATCCATGAGATACAAACCAGGTGGAATGTTTGTAACAGATAACAGCAGTATTACTACAGTGGATTCCCAGGTAAAGCATGAGTTGTGCCTGTTATTGATGTTTATATTTTTGGCAGGTAGCAACTGTTTTAAAGAATCTAAATGCAACTATGTAATTATGTATTATATACTTCCTTCCTTAATCCATATGCCACAAGAATGCATCCAGAAAATACCATGGCTGGATCAAGTCTTTTTTCAACAATTTCTCTTAGAATGAAGCTAATTCTAACAGGGCAGGTCTCAGATATTGTGGGTGAACAATCTCACCCAGAAGATGTGTCTCACAAACTCATCACTAAGCAGGGTGCCTTACACTCACATTACTACACACAGTACAGCACACATCACTACAGTGTCTTACACACATATCGTTACTATAAGTTATCTTATTAAACTTTTATATCAATCTCATCAGGTAGAAAATATACTTTATATATGATATAGCTAAGAGCTAGACAGGTCAGATGACACATTCAATGTCACACAATAAGTGGCATGATCTATACTAATTCCTGAGTCAGAGTACTTTCCACTACAATATAGACACAGCTATCCAAAGAACACTAATTTTAACATCTAATAAAACCAAGAGATCTAATTAAAATAAGCATTTTTACTTACACATCAAATCACAGTTCTGGATCATCAGAAATAGAAATATTTTTAGAATGGCTAATTTTCCAAGATAATGACAACCAGAAGAAACAACAACAAACAAAAAGACTGATACCAAGCAAATGGAATCCAATTATTAAAGTAATAGTTTTTCTAAGTCTCAAGGACCAAGACATTATCAGAATATAGGACATTTCATGTAAACATCCTCCAAAAGAACTTGATACCCTTTTCTCAAACTAGCTCCAGCTCCCAAATGGACAATGCTGTAGAAGAAGCACCCCTCCATCTTTCAGTACTATGTTTCCTCTCCTAATCTCTCTAACAAATAAAATTTAATTAAATCCCAAAATACTTGTATAGACAATAATTACTTATCCTGAACATCCACTACTTTTAAGTTGTACATGCTATTCTGTCCAGAAGAAAACTGATCAAATGTTTCTAAACTGGGCTCCAATTTTTGGAGTCATCGTTAATTTTCTTGTCTTTTTTACAAAATCTTGCACCAAGTCTAGCCTCCTGTCAAAGTATTTCTGGTCTCCACCCCCTTCATCTCCACTCTAGTCCAGTTTCTTAGTCTAGAATATTGTAATATCACCCTGACTTCCCTCTTTCAGATCTAAGTAGAGGATTTCCATATGTGCCAATCACATTTTTTAATCTGCCATAGCATCTGATAAAGTGGTTTGCATATTGTAGGCATTCTATAAATGTTCCTGAATAAATGAAATGGCTTTCATTCCATTGTTCAAAACCCTTTTATGGCTCCTATTAGTTAATTCCACTTAAATCTAACCTTTATTGCCTGATATTCAAGATTCTACATAATCTGGCTCAATCTACCCATCCAAGTTTAAATATCATTATCCATAACCAGAATCTTGTTTCAGCAACTGATTTCCAGGATACCTGAAGTCTGCTTCTGCTTCCACATCTGCTCCTCTAGTGCTTTTAAAAGTATGCTGCCCAACCCTCACTTCTTCTCCAAACTCTGCTCATTTTTCAAGGTCCAACACAAATTCTATTTTCTCCATAAATCTCTGATCACCCACACTGATGTTTTCTGAATCTTTATATATGGTTTATATATAGCATGTCCCTGGCTTCTAGAGTTCAAAGATCAAAACGCTTGAAATAAAATTTTGTGGTGGACATAATAAACTATAACCATCTACTATCACAAGCATGTTATTAAAAATAAAATATTTTAGTACCCCCAAAGTAAAAAGTAATTGCAGAATAAAAGACAGTATTCTAAATTGACTAAATTTAGCATTATTTTAAAACACTGTACTTATTTTTCACATTTTACCATGGATTAGGAAAATTCTGACAAAAACTGGCATTAGTCCATGGACCAGCATTAGGAGTCCACCCTTGCACGTCTGCCTGTGGAGTGGTGGAGCCAGGAAACCTGTATTTTCAACGAGCTCTTTGGATGATCCTGATGCACAATGCAGTTTGAGAACCACTAGTATAGTGCAGAGAAGTAAATTAAAAACTAAAACCAATCCATTTATGATTGACCTTATATATGATTTTTCATTCATTTAAGTCTTATATCTGCCAGTTAAACTTAAGCTACTTAAAAGAAAGGAATCTAATACTTGAGTATCCACTTGCTCCCATCCCCCAACCAAACTGTGCCTGGGATACTGACCTTAGTGAAAGACACACTATGTCTTTTTGATTTCTTTAGCACAATTATAAACATGTGCAGGTTCACTTGCTTTCCCATGGAGTTTTACATAAGACAAATTACTACTTTTAGAAAATACTCACTTTGTCAAACGAGCCTCCTTCACAGTTTTCTGCCAGGTCTGTATCTTTTTTTCTCTTTGGCCCAGTGCTTTCTGATATGCAGATGGAAGACCCCCAGGTATCTCTGTTGTGTCCCCTTCCATTTCAAAGGGAATAATAAACACATAGAATTCACATGGTGCTAAGAGTCGGAAGACACTTGTGCTGCTGTTGTCTCTGCACACAATCATGGGATTATCCCAATAGTTAGGCACTGTAGCAAGGCCAGTCCTGGCCATGTGGTCCTCCAGCATTGGGTAATGGGTATGAAAGGGGGCAAAAGTTACTCTCTGGTTCCCAGAGAGAATAAGTGGGCGTGTAGGCGTCAGAATGTGAAAGATGCAACCTGTTGTAGAAGAGATGGACAGACGATGGCAAACAGCAATGACTTTAACATTGTCACAGCTGTGGAGATGAAGAGCAGTCTGTACAGGGCCCAGGATGAAGGTGCTATTCCTGCACTTCTCAATTGTCACAGATCTGGAAAATGAGGTAAATTTCTCTGAATAAGAATACGATGAAAAATATCTGACTACAATATTATTCTGATGGCAAATAAAAGGACAAATCCTGGTCCAAAGAAAACGTCACAACATCAAAATACCCTTGCTTACCGTAAGGGAGACAGCAGATATACAAAAGTCTCGTTGCAACGATGAATCTTTACATGTGCCCCCACCAGAGTATCTGAGCTCTTGGCCAATGTCTGCTTGTAAACCTGGCTCATCACCACCAGGCGGTGCATCTTAGGGGCCACATGAGTATTACAAGCAATCTTAGCTCTTTTGGTCGTCCCTTCAACTATTTAAGAAAAATATAAATAAATGAGATTGTTTCAAAGAAAAACAATCAACCATACGAGGTTACACATGTCTACATGTATACATGTCTAAAATTAGACCCGTGTGAGGTTTAAAAAAATGTTAGATTTGGGTGTTGGGTATGCTATATTATTCTCTGTGCTTTTCTGTATATTTGCAATATTTCAAATTTTTTTGTTTTTTAAAAAAAGGTTAAACCTATAATCCATTCAACATTGCCTATAGATCTAAGATTTTTTCATGCCTACCCTTTAACTTAAGTAATGTGCCTAAGGCCATATGGCTAGTAAGTGGCAGAGCTGGCCCAACTCAAATAGTATCTTCTCCAACCAGCCTTAATTTATCATCCCAACTCTTAAATAATCTCTTTAAATTGCCATAATACTAATTCTGAACCCCTCCTAAGTTACTCACCACATCATTCCATGAATTGTATTTGGGTTCACGTCTTTACTCCCAGGATCATTACTGAGAGCACATCTTCCTCTCGAATGTGGTGCCTTAACTCACAAACTCACCCCTCAAGAAATCTGTGCAGGCTGCCCTCCTAACACAGTCCCACCATTACATCATTGCCTTCTCAGACTGTACTTCCCAGAAAACCATCAGGATACCCTTGTAAAGAAAATTGGCCAAATGTGGAGAGGTCACATAGTACGCTGTTCTTCTTTTAAAACAATTCTTATTGTTTCCTTTTATTAGAAAAGTAATATATGGCTCCTGTAGAAAATTTTAAATACTAGTAGTAAAACAAGATAAAAATTATTTGTAATCCTACTATCTAATATGTTTTGGTATAATCCTAAAAGGTCAGATGTCCTTTTTCCTCCAGTGCCTACCTTAACAACGTTTAAAAACTTACTTATATTCTTTTACCAACATCAAGAATTATGTAGTATCTCCTGTATATTTGTAGGAGCCTTACATATCTGAGAATCTGAGCTCATGCTAGAGCAATAGCTTGGTTGCATATATAATACTTGGGTCACTGTAGATGTTGCTCAACCATTTTCTGGTTTTCAGAATTATAAACATTTGATATGAAACTGATTTTTTTTTTTACATTTGCACGGAACCTATTTTTTTCTTTACCTTTGAAACTCAGAGATTGTGGAAGTATATTCTAGTTTTTTCCCATTAATTTTGCTTGGCCTTAGTACAGATACCTACTTCTCTTTAAACTTCTATCTGGGCCCTTCTTCTCTTAAAACTTATATCTGGGCCCGAAGAAGTCATACAGTACCTGAACCTATCCCTCTAGCCATCCCTGGACTATCAGGAATAGATACATTTGCAACCAAAGCGTAATTCTCTCTACTATGAATTTAAATTTCCAATTTAGAAATAGCTAGTCTGCTTGTGTCTGTGTAGCTAAAAAAGAATCTCATCTTTACACCAATTCTATGAGGTTGTAACTATGGAATGGCCAATTTCTGGTAGGGTGCCTAGAAAATAGGAAAGCTTCAAGTAAATGAGCATATGAGAGTGAGAGGGGGAAAAGAGTCCGAAAAGAGAAGAGCAGAGCAAAGAAAAAGGACCAACCGAAGTTGGAGTTTCTACTAACTGCAACCAAAACAACCTGGACTAATGAATCAACTCTCTCAAACTGTTGCAGCCTTGAGAAAAAGTCATATACAAAAGAGACGTTCCCTTTTTCTGTTTTATAGTAGCAATATTTTTTAGGTCTTCCACAAAAGACGTGTGATCATTAATATACCAGAAAACACTAGGTTCCTTAACCTGTCAATTCAATTTAATATAGATTAAAATATTAATAAATACCTTGGTGAGCCCAAGCCAATTTCTTCCCAGACTTGAGGCAAGCAGATATACCAAATGGATTCCCAGTTAAAGAGGCTCTCAACCAGGCTTCCAGCTTGTAGAAAGAAAAGGCCTTAGAGGTCTTTGAGAAGCCACTTTCTGCATGGAGTGGTTGCCACAGTGCAAGTTCATAAAGTGGATATATCTTCCTGGCTCCACTCACTGTACCTTCAATAAGAAAGCTGAGTGCTACAACAGCTTCTCGAGAGACTAGACTACTGTGGGTCGAATGAAATGATGCAGTGAGTTGTTCTGGATCTACAAGCAGTTCAAGGAGATCTGACAGATGATCACAGACAAAAGCTTGGTGACTGTAATCATTCCAGTTCTAAAAAATACCAAAAGAAAGCACTTTTAACGGATCAATGAGATTGAAACTCATTGTTTCAACAGAACAGTAAGACCTGAGACTTTTATATTTTAATTATTTTGTATTTATACTTTGCTTCATCCTCCCAAAAGCATTTAAAGTGGCTATATAAACCTTATAAAGATTTTCTGTGCACGTAATAGGTATAAACAGATTCTCTCTCTATCTTAGATAATTCAAAAGTAATACTAGTAGCTAACCCTCAGTGTGTGCCAAGCACTGTTATACAAACTTTAACATATTTATAACTAGCAACAGTCTTAGGATAGATGCTATAACCGTGCCCATTCTACAGATGAAGAAATGGAGATACAAAAAGGTTCAGAAACTTGCCCAAGGTCACACAGCTAGTATTAAATATTCTAAAAGTTTCAGATCAAACATAAAAATAACCGCCTCAGACATTCATTTCATGAAGCACTAGGTTTTTTTAAAAAATTACCTTCTCAAATTACAGAAGGAATTTCAAAATCTAATGAAACAAGGCAACTGCTCTTACAGTAACCAGATTTAAGAGAAGTTATAACCTTGGGGGCTTCTCTGGTGGCACAGTGGTTAAGAATCCGCCTGCCAATGCAGGGGACACGGGTTCGAGCCCTGGTCCAGGAAGATCCCACATGCCGCGGAGCAACTAAGCCCGTGCACCACAACTACTGAGCCTGCACTCTAGAGCCCGTGAGCCACAATTACTGAGCCTGCGTGCTGCAACTACTGAAGCCCGTGTGCCTAGAGCCTGTGCTCCGCGACAAGAGAAGCCACCACAATGAGAAGCCTGCGCACAGCAATGAAAAGTAGCCCCGCTCGCTGCAACTAGAGAAAGCCCAGGTGCAGCGACGAGACCCAACGCAGCCAAAAATAAATATAAATAAAATAAATAAATTAAAAAAAGAAAAGAGAAGTTATAACCTTGGGAATAAGCTTTGAGTTGGCAGACGTACCAATAACTTGGCTTATTCATTTGACAGATATGTGATATGAGCAGTGTTAAGTGATGAATTATGCAAACTAAATAAGACATAGTTCCTGTCCTCAAGGAATTCAACAACTATGTAGTGAAATGACAATATAAACAAATAACTATAACACAGTGGGATGAGACCTATAGCAGAGATCTGTAAGATGTTCTATGAGCATGAGAAGAACAAAGAACTCCATTTGGGGAAAACAAATCTTAGTGGAGCGCTGTTTGAATAGATTCTTGATTGACGCTGGTAGTTATGCAAACAGAGCAGGGAAAAAAGCATTCTAGGCCTAGGGAACAGCAACCAAAGGCCCATAGGAGTAAAATCACCTGCTGTGTTCAGAGAAATGGAAGTTCTGGGTGGGGTGTAGGGAGCATGCTGGGAAGTGGCAGGTAAAGGTAAAATGGTAGGCAGGGACCAGTCACAAAAGGCTCTGTATGAAATACTAAGATATCTGGACTTTATTTTGTGTGCCAGAGACAAAATAAACTATTTTGTAAATAGCTATACCATTTTTCTTTTTAATAAACTCTCATTTGGACGCCAAAGAACATTTCAAAGCAGAGCTGTCCACAGCCTCACCTGCTCTTCCTCCCTCTTGCTGCATCTCCCTCCCCCACGGTAAGTAGGCCTAAGAAGGCTCCAAACAGTACAAGATGAAAACAACAATGACAATGAGAATTCACTGATGGAGTTCTGACAGGAGATGGATACAAAGGATCTGTATTTTAGAAAGTCCAGTGTAGTAGGTGGGCTATAGATTGAAAGCAGGGTGACCAAGTAGGATCTAATTATAGAAATCAAAGCAAAAAAAAAAAATGACATTAGGGCCTATACAGAGGAAGAAAAAGGATAAATTTTATTTTGGCTGCACCTCGAGGCTTGCAGGATCTTAGTTCCCTGACCAGGGATCAAACCCAGGCCCCGGCAATGAGAGCACCGAGTTCTAACCACTGGACTGCCAGGGAATTCCCAAAAAAAGGACAAAATTTTAAAGAGTTATTTTGAAGGCAGAATCAGTAAGACTTGACAACTAACTAGGTATGGGTGGTGATAGAGAAAGCATGGGTGGCTGGTGGTAACTTTCACTGGAATGGGGAATACAAGATAATTCAAGTGAAGGGAGATTCTACTGTAGGGACATACAATCATCTCCCAAACTGAAGTACAGGGAAACTTCATCAGAACTGGAACTGGAAAGCCATCTTGAACCTGGTTCTCTCTCAGGTCTCTCTGCATGTCTGTTCCATTCTCTTCTTTATCTCAGAGTTGCTAATCCCTCATAACTCCAGGTCACTCACGGATGTGGTAGCTATTCTGGTCCTAATGCCACATGAGCTACCAGCAAATACCTATCACCAACTGGGTAATTTCTTCAATCCCTGGGGTACTGATTGGACCAGATCATCATTTCAAATCAGACCAATTTCAAATACATACCTAGGAATGGGTTATTCTAGTCAAGTGTCCATCCCTGGTCCAATCAGTTGCTGGGAGAGGTCATGCTATAGCACAAACTAAAGTCACCATATACTGGTGCTTACGATGCAACAAGTCTCATGCTATGTATTACTGAATTCTCACAGCCATTCAGAAATAGGCATTATCATCTCCATTTAGAGAAAAGAAGCCAAGCTAGAGAAGTTAACTGAGTTGCCTACAATCATGTGAAATCAAATTCATTAACATTTGCAAAAATGGGAATGCTAGTAAGAGTAGAGTGAACGATTTGCCTGAAAATTATCTAAGTGATTTTTGTGTCGTTGCAGGGACTGAAATCACTTCTCTATCTTGATTAAGATTGCACATATTGATTTCGTTTTATAATTAGGAAAAGAAAGCAAAAACAAAACAAATCAAGCCAACAAATCTCTGGCTTATATAAGCAATTCAAAGTAATTTTTAATGAAGGCAAACTGTCTCCCTCACAAATTGTCCCTTTCAGAGAAAGAGATCATAATTTAAATAGTACCTTATTATGACAACTGGATTTTTCAGTCAGGTCAGGAGACTGAGATCTGTGTCTGGGACTAGGCCACTCTTCTCCAATCAAAGATGTCCTCAGGGAGACCTTGTTTAACTGTTGTATATATAAGAAGAGCAGAAACTGTAGGGTGTCCACTGAAAGCTGTCCAAGAAGAAAATAAATGATGAACACATGTCTTAAAACAACATCAACCACTATTAGATACAGTAACTAAGTAGATATAGTAAAAGAAATTCACAACAGTGTGCTGATCCTAAGAAAACAAATGTGGAAACGTTGCTAGCATTGGATATGTATGTCTCTGATACCCAGATGTAGGAGTTTCTAAAACTAATTAAACTGGAGTCACTTACTTTCTCAGAAAGCTATGTAGCATCTATGGCCATAGTCATTCTCTCCCAAAACTGATGAAGTGGAAAGGATGAAGTACATACTTTTTTAAAGTATATTATTTCAGAAGTTTACAATTACAATAAAAAAAACAGTAATCTGAATAAACAAATAGATGAAAGAAAGGAAGAAGGAAATTTAATCAAGACACAGAGGTTAGTTTAACCTGATCACAGACTTATCAAGAAAGTTCAGGATATCAGTGCAACACCTGAAATTGTACGCAATTTTTTGGTGTATATGCATTTTGTGGGGAGTAGGCCTCAGGTTCTCATCAAATTCTTAAAAAGGGTGTTTGACTTAAAAAAAATACTACTGGTCTGACAGATGTTAAGTCATTTCTTATTTGAAGAAGGGTGTGGTTTGAAGCTCAGGATTTGAAGCTCATGATTATCCTCATATACCTATTCCCATACACATACAAGAGAGGCAAAAAAGTGAAGTAATACATCTGGGTCTACAGCTATATTCACCCTGATTCCCAACATGGCTAAAAATCAGTATGCCTAGAGAACTTAAAAATATGGATTCTCAGGATCACCTAAGCCTACCAATTCAATCAGCTGTCAATGTGGAACCTCATGAATCTATATATTTAAAAAAATTTTTACTTGCTTAATTAAACTTTTTGAGGTAACTGCAGTTTCACATGCAAGAACAGAGAGATCCCATGTACTTTTTATCCAGTTTCCCATCTTGCAAAACTATCATACAACAGCACAGCCAGGGTATTGACACGGATGCAGTCAGGGTACAGAACACTTCCATCCACGCAAGGTTCCTTCATGTTGCCCTTTTATGTATAGCCTTTTATTCACGTGGCAATCCAACACAGGGCATCTGGTTGGATGAGTCTCTAGGCTGCTGTCATCTAAGCAATGACTCAGGGATCTAGGCATCTTCTGTCTTTTGAAGCCACTATTATACTAGTGGCTCCACTTCTATCTCCATAATTTTGTCATTTCAAGAATGTTACATAAATGGAATCATATAGTATGTCACCTCTTGGGATTGACTTTTTTCACTCAACGTAATTCCCTGATTTTATACATACTTCCATTTAACAATTATTTGTTATATTATCATTATTCCTTCATATACCTGCCCCTCCATGAGACTGTAAGATCTTTCTCTCTTTCGCTTTTATATTCCTAGTAACTAGCATAGAAACTAGTACATAGTAAGCACTCAAAAAAAGTGGAGCTTCTTGAAGGTTTTATTCATCTCTGTATCCACAGCACCCACTACTGTACCTAGCACATAGTAGGTACTCAATAAATGTTTAATTAATGAAAACTATAATGCCCTTCTCCTCCTGGTTGCTTGCCAAACTTTTTTTTCAATCTCCAAACCCTTGTTTAGATATTATACCATGTGGTAGAGACTGGCTAGATGCTAACTAAATGCCTTTCCTTCCTGATCACACAATTAGATGGCATTTCCCAGCCTCCTTTGAAGTTGCATATGGTATAACTGGGTTAGTCAATGGAATGTGGGTGGGTGGGTTTACATACACTGCTTTTAAGCCTCCCAAAAACTTTCCCAAAGAAATGGAAGTGAAGGACTCAGGCCCTAGTGGGAATGGCTGTGGCAAACTGTATTTTATTTGCAATTGTTCACTTCCTCATCCTCCAAGAGGCTTACACGGCCCTTCCCATGGCCATGGGATTTCCCTGCCTCCTGTGAGGTAGTTTACCTCCCATCTTATTAATTTCAGGCATGGACATGTGACAAAGTTTTTGGCCAATGGAACAAAAGTGGTTGTAGTTTATGTCACATCTGAGCAAAAGTTTTAAGAGGCATCAAGACTTTTCTCCTGCTCTGTTGCTCTTCCCTTCTATCCCAAGAATAGACATGACCTACATAGAAGCTGTTTCTTCACCCTGAGTCTCCAAATGGGCAGACACATAGAGCCACAGCCTGGAAAAGAGCCATAGCTAAGGTGCAGCCTAAATGTAAAATAAGCAAGAAATAAACCTTAGTTACTGTAAGCCACTGAAATTTCATTTTTGTTTGTTTTTAACCTAGTATAATAGTGGCTCCAAAAGACAGAAGATGCCTAGATCCCTCAGTCATTGCTTAGATGACAGCAGCCTAGAGACTCATCCAACCAGATGCCCTATGTTGGACTGCCACATGAATAAGAAATAAACTGTTATTGCACCAAGCCACTAAAATGCTGGGATCACCTGTTACTGTAATAGCCTACCCTGATTAATATACTTTCTCTGTGAAGTCTTTCCTTATCACCAGAATTAATCATTCTCTTCTCTATTCTATTTCTGTACTTTATGCGTACTTTTATTGCACATTCCATACTATTAAACAGCACTTTTTAAACTATAGTCGATTTACAATATTGTGTTAGCTTTAGGTGTACAGCAAAGTGATTTGGTTATACATATATACATATGTTATATATTTATATTCTTTTTTTGATTCTTTTCCATTATAGTGTATTACAAGATATTGAATATAGTTCCCTGTGCTACACAGCAGATCCTTGTTGCTTATCTATTTTATATATGGTAGTTTGCATCTGTTAACCCCATACTCCTAAATTATCACTCCCCCTCTTCCCCTTTGGTAACCACAAGTTTGTTTTCTATGTCTGTGAGTCTGTTTCGGTTTTGTAAATAAGTTCATTTGTACTATTTTTTAGATCCACATATAAGTGATATCATATGACATTTGTCTTTCTCTGTCTTACTTCACTTAGTATGATAATCTCTAGGTCCATCCATGTTGCTGCAAATGGCATTATTTCATTCTTTTTTATGGCTGAGTAATATTCCATTGTATATACACACACATATATATATCAAATATATCACATCTTCTTTACCCATTCATCTATTAATGGACACTCAGGCTGCTTCCGTGCCTTGGCTATTGTAAACATGCTGCTGTGAACACTGGGGTGCATGCATCTTTTCAAATTAGAATTTTCTTTGGATATATGCCCAGGAGTAGGATTGCAGGATCATATGGTAGCTTTATTTTTAGTTTTTTTAAGGAACCTCCATACTTTTTTCCATAGTGGCTGCACCAATTTACATTCCCACCAGCAGTGTAGGAGGGTAACCTCTTCTCTACACCCTCTCCAGCATTTATTATTTGTAGGCTTTTTGATGATAGCCATTCTGAACAGTGTGAGGTAATACCTCAACGTGGGTTTCTCTTTTATTGGAGCCTAGTTGATTTACACTGTTGTGTTAGTTTCTGCTGTACAACAGAGTGAATCAGTTATACATATACACATATCCACTCTTTTTTAGATTCTTTTCCCATATAGGTCATTACAGAGTACTGAGTAGAGTTCAGTGTGGTTTTGATTTGCACTTCTCTAATAATTAGTGATGTTGAGCATCTTTTCATGTGCCTGTTAGTCATCTGTATGTCTCCCTTGGAGGAATGTCTATTAAATAGCACTTTTTTACACACCAGCTTCACCTACTAGTCTATGAGCTCCATGAGGTCAGAGCTGCTGTTCCAATCATCTTTGAATCTCAGCATATAGCAGACGCTCACTTAAAAAGAGTCAGGTGCTCGGACCGTAACATGTCAGCAGTTCATAAGCACTCATGTACCTCAATAGTTTTAATGTCAATGAAAATATTTCTCTTCCAATTACAGGGTTTCTATAACATTACTGCTTTAAAAATAAGTGAATAAGGATTGCTAAGTAAGGACTAACTCACTAAATATTGCCAAACTGGAACTGCTAAAACTTAAATGGTGCTTTGGCATCACATGGTCATTAAAACCTTAAACTGCACGCTGTACAGCTAGTACAAAAATTTTAAATAGTTTATTTCCCAAAGTAATTAAACACACATACATGTACACATAAATCCATACCTGATTTCTTTGCTTTTCGACTTCATCCTCAGACATGCAGTTGGACAGAATTTCAGACCATTCCAGGCGCTCCTTCGGTGTCTTCACTGCAAGACTATCAAATATTTCAAAGTAAAGCCATGCCAGATCCTTAGCCAACTGCAGCTTTCCACACGCAATGTGCCTCCATGTAGACCAGGACAGGCGTGGGTAACCTCCCTCTGTGGCCCGGGTTCGCACATAGGTGGATATCTTCCTGAGATAGTGAAGACTGAACTTGGATGGAGGGGGGACCTGCAAGGCGCCCACTATAAAGGGTTCTGCTTTCACCCAGAGGACAACTCCGGACTCATCCATATTATCTCTAAGGACATCTGTGTGAAAAGGCTTCTTTGCATACCTAGGAAACAAAGTTTCTTCACAAGCTAATTTGAAATAAAATGCATTTACACAGTTTCTTGTAAGGTGACCCCTCCCTTAACTGTTTTTAAATGTACTATGTCAATTTAAAAAGTGGATCTAGTTCATCAAACAAAAGCAGAATAGATTTTTGGTCAGATCTCATTATAATCTATTTGAGCAAGAAAAATATTGTAATAAAACTATCTCACTTGAGTTGTTCAAAGTGGTTGTCCAAGGAAGTGTGTAAATGCATGAGGTATGAGATAGATGCCTGCTCAGGACGAAGAAAAGAAGAAATGGGAAAGAGCCATCCTATCACCAGAAATCTTGCTCTATCCTGAGGGGAAACACTAGTCAAAATAAGGGGAATAAAATTTCAAAGTCCAATCACTTACACATAGAGGATGCCTGATTAAAGATCTGGACGTGTTAGCTGACCATATGAGCTCAATATGAAGCACTAGCACAGGGTGGCAGACAAAAATGCTCAGGTAGGGCTTCCCTGGTGGCGCAGTGGTTGAGAGTCCACCTGCCGATGCAGGGGACACGGGTTCGTGCCCCGGTCCGGGAAGATCCCACATGCCGCGGAGCAGCTGGGCCCATGAGCCATGGCCGCTGAGCCTGCGCGTCCGGAGCCTGTGCTCCGCAATGGGAGAGACCACAGCAGTGGGAGGCCCGCGTACCGCAAAAAAAAAAAAAAGAAAAAGAATGCTCAGGTAAACGTAGGCTGCAAAAATAGATGAAGGAAAGTCAAAGCATCTTTAGTCTCTATAACAGTGAACCTGCTCTGGCATATTCTACTGTCCTTAGTTCAGATGCAATATTTTTAGATTTTGTTTGTTCATTGTTTGTTATAACAATACATGATTTTTAGGAAATATTTGTTAAATATGTAAAAATAGAAGGGGAGGAAATCATCCACAGTCCCACCACCAAAGGGAAACTAGTTAATATTTTACTGTACTTCCTTGCTTTTTTTTCTACACAGGTTAGATATTAGTTTTTGAATTGTCATAGTTGTGATAATACTATATATTCTGTATTATTTTATAATACAATTCTGTCTTATTTTAAAAGCTTAATAGCACTCTAAATAAATGTACCCCAGTTTATTCAACTGTTCTATTTTCAGACATTTCGTAGGTTTAAAATTTTTCACAAAAACAAGATAGGCAAACTATTGATCATTGTTGAAGCTGGATGATGAATACATGGGGGTTAACTTACCTATTCTACTTTTGTGTATGTTAAAATTTTCCACTAAAAAATGTTTAAATGTTTTCACTTTTATAAATAATGCTATAATTACCATCTTTCTGCATATTTTCTGCATTATCATTAATTCCCAGAGAAAATTTTCAGATGTGCATTTGTGAAATGAAGTAACTGAGATTTCTGAAGCTCCTGACATATATTACCATTGCTTTCCAAAATGATTATATCAAATTGTTCCATCAATTTGATTATATCAAAATGTTTTATTGCTATTATTATGTTTTGCATTTGACTTTAAGAAAATTCTGCTTCTTTTGGGAATTCTCTGTTCAAAAAGTAATTGACATCAATTGAGCGCTTTACTATGTGCCAGGTAGCATTCTAAGTATGTCATGTTCTTCACCTTTCATCCGCACAACCACCTGGAGATACATATGATTATCCCCATTTTCAGATGAGAAAACGGAGGCTTAGAAAAGTTAAGGGACTTACCCAAAGTCACATACTTGAGTTGGCAGAGCCCTGGATTAGAATTCAAGTCTGTCTGACTTGAGAACTGTGTTACTTACAAATGTATTTTAGGAACCCAGTTTTGGGAGACTCTGGAAAATAGGAGTGAATCCAGAAGAGAATGACCAGAATGACTGGCCTTAAATGGAAGGCCACCTAAGGACCAGGTGTAAGATCATGGAAGCATAAACCCAAAAGAAGGGTGTGAGAGGGTAGATGGCAGCTGTCTTCCAAATTGGGAATGGTTTAACGTCCCTCTGAGTAACACCAGACGATGAAAGTTCTGTGAGGAAGATCTTAGTCCGCTCCAAAATGAAAATAGGCTGCTCTGTGGGGTACTGACCCCTGTCCCTGAAGTTAGCAATCAAAAGCCAGAACCTGGGGATGAACCCTCTATTCTAACCTCGAAACTAGAGAGGGCTAAATTCGTAAACATAAACTGGGGCTCCTTCCCTCTTCAAGAGCTCCCCTGGGATGCGCTGGGATCCGGCTTATTCAGGCAGGGAGATCGGCGTGAGGCCCAAGGCGGTCCTACCGAGGCTTCGCCGCCACCTCGTCCGCTCTCTGGGGTAGGACGCGGTCCAGGATGGGACTCTGAGTGGGCCGCCCGAGCGCGCCCCGATCTCACTTCAGGAACCGAGAAGCCCCAGCTGACAGGGTCCGTAGAGGACCCAAGACCTGGCGACTGCGAAGGCGGCCTCCCCAGCCCGAGCCCGAGGCGTGATGGGCTCCTCCCTGTCACCGGCCCGCGCGCGGTTACCTGCGAAGATAGGGGCCAACCGGCCGCATCTCCCAGCGCGCAGCCGCGCCTCGCCCGCCAGACCGGCCCGCGCCCGCCGCCCACCCACTGCGCAAGCGCAAGGCCTCGCACCACCGAGAGCTGGACGACAACGTTGCTAGAGTGGCCCGGTACTTCTTCCGCGATTTGGGAAACAGTTGGCTGAGGCTGAGAGTCCTTGATGCTGGAACGTGGAGCCAGATCCGGCCGCTTTGTGGTGTCGTGCCTTTCTACTCAGGGTATTAGGAAGTTTTCCATTGCTCCACAGAGCTGTGGTCAGGCACTAGCTGCTGGTAAGGTCAGCACGCTTTGATCAGTAACAATAGTGATAATGACAGTTTACATTTATAGAATGCTTACTGTGGGCTGGGCACCGATTAAAGCACCTTTACGTATCTTATCTCAGTCTTCCTAAGAGCGCTCTAAGTTAAGTACATTTGTTTTACTGATGAGGGCTTAGAGAGGTGAAAGTAACACAGAGACCGAGCTAAGACACAAACCCCAGGATGTCTGAAGCGAGAGCCACCAGGGTTAGCTCCTTAACTGTTAGCTTTTCCTACATGTTACCGCCTTCAGGAAGCTTTTTTGGATTTCACCCATCATAGGAACATAACTCCTTGCTCTAAAACTCCATATTATGATTTTTGGTCATTTCCTGCTTTTTTTAAAATTTATTTTTTATACAGCAGGTTCTTATTAGTCATCAGTTTTATACACATCAGTGTATACATGTCAATCCCAATCTTCCAATTCATCACACCACCACCACCACCACCCCGCGGCTTTACCTCCTTGATGTCCATACGTTTGTTCTCTACATCTGTGTCTCAATTTCTGCCCTGCAAACTGGTTCACCTGTACCATTTTTCTAGATTCTACGTATATGTGTTAATATACGATATTTGTTTTTCTCTTTCTGACTTCACTCTGTATGACAGTCTCTAGATCCATCCACGTCTCAACAAATGACCCAATTTCGTTCCTTTTTATGGCTGAGTAATATTCCATTGTATATATGTATCACATCTTCTTTATCCATTTGTCTGTTGATGGGCATTTAGGTTACTTCCATGACCTGGCTATTGTAAATAGTGCTGCAATGAACATTGGGGTGCATGTGTCTTTTTGAATTATGGTTTTCTCTGGGTATATGCCCAGTAGTGGGATTGCTGGATCGTATGGTAGTTCTATTTTTAGTTTTTTAAGGAACCTCCATACTGTTCTCCATAGTGGCTGTATCAATTTACATTCCCACCAACAGGGCAAGAGGGTTCCCTTTTCTCCACACCCTCTCCAGCATTTGTTGTTTGTACATTTTCTGATGATGCCCATTCTAACTGGTGTGAGGTGATACCTCATTGCAGTTCTGAGTTGCATTTCTCTAATAATTAGTGATGTTGAGCAGCTTTTCATGTGCTTCTTAGCCATCTGTATGTCTTCTCTGGAGAGATGTCTATTTAGGTCTTCTGCCTATTTTTGGATTGGGTTGTTTGTTTTTTTAATACTGAGCTGCATGAGCTGTTTATATATTTTGGAGATTAATCCTTTGTCCGTTGATTCATTTGCAAATATTTTCTCCCATTCTGAGGGTTGTCTTTTCGTCTTGTTTATGGTTTCCTTTGCTGTGCAAAAGCTTTGAAGTTTCATTAGGTTCCATTTGTTTATTTTTGTTTTTATTTCCATTACTCTAGGAGGTGGATCAAAAAATATCTTGCTGTGATTTATGTCAAAGAGTGTTCTTCCTATGTTTTCCTCTAAGAGTTTTATAGTGTCTGGTCTTACATTTAGGTCTCTAAACCATTTTGAGTTTATTTTTGTGTATGGTGTTAGGGAGTGTTCTAATTTCATTCTTTTATATGTAGCTGTTCAGTTTTCCCAGCACCACTTATTGAAGAGACTGTCTTTTCTCCATTGTATATCCTTGCCTCCTTTGTCATAGATTAGTTGACCATAGGTGTGTGGGTTTATCTCTGGGCTTTCTATCTTTTTCCATTGATCGATGTTTCTGTTTTTGTGCCAGTACCATATTGTCTTGATTACTTTAGCTTTGTAGTATAGTCTGAAGTCAGGGAGTCTGATTCCTCCAGCTCCATTTTTTTCCCTCAAGACTGCTTTGGCTATTCAGGGTCTTTTGTGTCTCCATACAAATTTTAAGATTTTTTGTTCTAGTTACATAAAAATGCCATTGGTAGTTTGATAGGGATTGCATTGAATCTATAGATTGCTTTAGGTAGTATAGTCATTTTCACAATATTGATTCTTCCAATCCAAGAACATGGTATATCTCTCCATCTGTTGGTATCATCTTTAATTTCTTTCAACAGTGTCTTATAGTTTTCTGCATACAGGTCTTTTGTCTCCCTAGGTAGGTTTATTCCTAGGTATTTTATTCTTTTTGTTGCAATGGTAAATGGGAGTGTTTCCTTAATTTCTCTTTCAGATTTTTCATCATTAGTGTATAGGAATGTAAGAGATTTCTGTGCATTAATGTTGTATCCTGCAACTTTTCCAAATTCATTGATTAGCTCTAGTAGTTTTCTGGTGGCATCTTTAGGATTCTGTATGTATAGTATCATGTCATCTGCAAACAGTGACAGTTTTACTTCTTCTTTTCCAATTTGTATTCCTTTTATTTCTTTTTTTTCTCTGATTGCCGTGGCTAGGACTTCCAAAACAATGTTGAATAATAGTGGTGAGAGTGGACATCCTTGTCTTGTTCCTGATGTTAAAGGAAAGGTCATTTCCTGCTTTCTTAGTTGTTTGTGGCCTCTCTAGGTGTGGGAGATACAAAGGTAAATAAGACCATAAAATGCAATTTAGTTCCTCTTTTATGTGGCCTCTCTCCCCTAGTAGGCACCTTCCTGAAAGCAGTAACCTGGTCTACCTCTTACCTCTGCACTGTGTCTGGCACAGTGCTAAGCACTAGGATTACAGCAGTGAACAAAACAGATAAGGTTCTTGCTTTCTTGGAGTGTATATTTTAATAGGGAGAATAGATAATACATTAGGAAAATAAAATAGAATAATTTCAGTTGTTAGTAAGTGTTATGAAATTTGGGGAAAGGGGTGAGTGCCGAATCTGAGCTGAGGCCTAAAGAATAAGAAGCCAGCACACGAAGATCACAGTCAAAGCGACTTTGTCTCTGTCACAAGCTCTGTTCTAGGTTGCTGTTCTAGACAGCTGTGAACAAAACAGTACAGATTCATGCTTTCATGAAAGTGGCATTCCAATGTGTGTGAGTGTGAGGGGCAGGGATGGAAATAATAAAATAGCACACTGTAAGAATAGTGACTCAGTAGGGGCTAATTTTGATTGGTTGGTCAGGGAAGTCTGCTATGAGGTGGTGAATTTAAGCTGTTATCTGAGTTTAAAAAGGAGTCACCCATGTTAGGATCTGAGGAAAGAGCGTTTCAGGCAGAGAACAGCTAGAACAAATGCCCTAGGCAGGAATGAGCTTGGCGTATTCAGAAAAGAGAAAAGAAACCACTTTTATTGGAACGTGGTAAGGAGTATACTAGGTGAGGGTACAGATCATATAAGATTTTTGTTCTTTTTCCCCAGCTTTATTGAGAAATAATGTTTCTATAAGCTAGTATAAATATAAAGACTTGGGATCTTATTGCAAGTGCAATGAAAAGCCATTCGAGGCTTTTAAGCAGACAAATTATATGATCTGACATGTTTGTAAAAAATCATGGCAGGGGGAAGGGACGGGGTGAAAAAAAAATACTAAGATATTACGAGTGGAGGCAGGGAGACCAGTTAGGAAGCCCTTGCCAGGTGGGAGATGTTGTGACTTAGCCCAGAGAGGTAGTGGAGATGTAGAATAGTGGACAGATTCAATATACGGTTTAAAGGTAAAGATTTGGATGGGGGATACAGGAGAGAATCAAGGAAGACACCTAAAGTTTTGTAGTGAACAACTAGGTGGTGCAATTACTGAAATGAGCAAAAATGGGGGGGGGGATCCGTTCTCTTCTTAACTGTAATATTTATTGTTCTTTGCGTGCTTACTATGTGCCAGACGCTGTGCTAGACGGTTTACAGATTTTCTCCTACTAAAATTTCACAACACTACCAGTAAATGCTTTGCCTCAGGTTTGTAGATAAAGCAGCTTAGTGTCAGGCTGGGAGCGGGGAGGGAGCATGTTCTCACCGCTAGGAAGTGGTGGAGGCTGAATCCGAACCTAAGTCTGCTTCCAGGGCCACTCCTCATCAGGCCTCTTCTTTGCGAAACCGAGACAATTTTCTCCTAGGTTTGTTAGAAGATAAAATATGATCTAAGCTGTGCATCAGCCGTACTGTTGGCGTGGAGTCATTGTCCCCGCCCATTTCGCCCCCGTCCTTCCTCTCCGGCGTACAGCGCCTAGCTCTAGGTGAATGAAATTCCGAGACTCGTAACCAAGATAAAACCTCCCTCCCGCAATTGGTCAGTGCTGGAGGAGGAGCCCCGTGATTGGTGGAGAGTCCAAGGAGGCGGGCGGAGGGAAACTTTGTGTACCGCGATGCCGGCTTTTGGAACCCTTTCCCCACCACCAATCTTTACGTAATTTTCTGCGACTCGCAGGTGCCCGGGCTGAGCGGATTCCTGCTGCGGCACGATTCTCTGACGTTTCCCCTTCTAATTGGCCGGGAGCTGCGGCTGTAGTTCCGAAGCCTAACTGGCCGGCCTCACCGCCTCGGAGGTGAAGTGTACTGCGCTGATTGGCTGTGAGGCGCCGGCCGCGTGTGATGTCCCGAGCAGCGATTGGCTCTGGCCCGCTGGGTGCTTCTCTCGCCGGGACTCGGGACTCCCGGGAAGTGGACTGGTAGAGGAGGGGGGCAAGCTAGGTGTCGCTCCCGACTAAGTCGGAGACTCCGGCGTGAGGCGGCCTCTCAGGGCCGGGTGGGCTGGCGAGCCGACGCGGCGGCGGCGGCGGCGGCTGTGAAGAGTGCGGGGGTCAGGGGCCCGCAGAGAGACCATGGCCCCGCA